CCGGGGAGGGTTGGGGGGCAGGAGGGAAGGGGGTAAGAGATCAACCGAAGGACTTGTATGCATGCATATAAGCTTAACCAATGGACATAAGACACTGGGGGGTAAGGGAGGCCAGGGGATTGTCAAGGGAGGGGAAAAAAAAGGACACATATGTAATACCTTTTGTAATACTTTAAGCAATAAAAAAATTAAAAAAAAAAAAGAAATTTCAATCGTTATACTGTTGATATTTGGCTCTGTTGACTAATGAGTTTGCCGACCACTGGGCTAGGGCAATACAATGTTTTTAAAAAATATATGTTTTTATTGATTTGAGAGGAAGGGAGAAGGATTGAGAGATAGAAACATCAATGAAAGATCGGTTGCCTCAAGCACACCCACTACTGGGGATCGAGCCAGCAACCTGGGCATGTGCCCTGACCAGGAATCAAACCAGTGACCTCTTTGTGCATGGGTCAATGCCACATGGGCTGGACCACTACAGTGTTTTTGAGATTAATTTGTATTTCCTCATATAACTGATTTATTTTGTCTATGCTGTGTGATTTCCATTGTATGAATAGACTTCAAAAAGTTAATGTTATTAAAAGACTAGGAGACAGCCTGCTTGTTTTGCTCAGTGGTTGAGTATCAACCTATGAACCAGGAGGTCAGGGTTTGATTTCCAGTCAGGGCACATGCCAGGTTTGCAGGGTCGATCCCCAGTAGAGTTTGTATTGGAGGCCGATGAATGATTTTCTGTCATCATTGATGTTTCTATCTCTCTCTATCTCCCTTCTTCTCTGAAATCAATAAAAAAATATTGTAGCCCTCACTGGTTTTGCTCAGTGGATAGAGCATTGGCCTGCAGGCGGAAGGGTCCTGGGTTCGATTCTGGTCAAGGGCACATGCCCAGGTTTTGGGCTTGATCCCCACTACCTCAATGATTCTCTCTTATCATTGCTGTTTCTGTCTCTCTCTCCCTCTCCCTTCCTCTCTGAAATCAATAAAAATATATTTAAAAATATTTTAAAAAATGAGACTAGGACAAATAAAAGATGTAATAACCAAAGGCAATTTATGATCCTGGTATTAAAACACACACACACACAAAAACCATAAATCCATTATTTGACAATTGTAAAAATTTAATCATGTACTGGTTAGTAGGTACTATTAGGGAATTTTGATAGTTTTCTTAGCTCACTAAAACTTTTCTGTCCAATTTCTCTATTAATGGCACCACTGTTTTTGATAGATACTCCCTTCCCCCAACTGGTGGGTGGAGTATGACGTAACCTGCAGCCCGGAAATACCTGAGTGCCTAACCATGTACGTTATATGGACTATACATTGAACCACCCATCAGCACCTGCCAAATACCCTAAGCCCTTGTCCCTAAGTACCTGAGTGCCTAACTATGTACCTTATATGGACCATACATTAAGCCACCAATCAGTGTGCGCCGAGTACCCTAAGCCCCCATTCCTTCCCATTCCCCCCCTGAAAAGGAGTGCTCACCTCTGCACGGGTTGCTGTTCTCCCCTTGGGAGACAGCCCGGCAGGTCTTTCTCCTAATAAAGCCTGTAATCCTGGTTTTTGGCTCCCGACTTGTCTTTCATTCTTCTCAGTCACTCATGCTTAATTCTTTTTTTAAAAAAATATATTTTATTGATTTTTTACAGAGAGGAAGGGAGAGGGATAGAGAGTTAGAAACATCGATGAGAGAGAAACATAGACCAGCTGCCTCCTCCACACCCACTACTGGGGATGTGCCCGCAACCAAGGTACATGCCCTTGACCGGAATCGAACCTGGGACCTTTCAGTCCGCAGGCCGACACTCTATCCACTGAGCCAAACCGGTTAGGGCATGCTTAATTCTTTAAAAAAAAAAAATTTTTTTTATTGATTTGAGAGAGAGAGAGAACTTTGATTTGTTGTTCCACTTATTTATGCATTCATTGATTGCTTCTTGTAGTGCCCTGACTGGAGACTGAACTCACAAACTTGGCATATGCGGACAACACTCTAACCAACTGAGTTACCTGGCCCAGGGCCTCAGGCTTAATTCTTTTTTTAAATCCCCATGCATTCTCATGATGTTAATGGAGAATGAAGAGTTAGACCTTGGTCCTTGAGTTTGGCTAAGAAAGAATTCTGCTCAAGGACTCTAATGCAAGAAGTTTATTTAGAAAGTCACAGAGGTAGAAGAAGTGAGCCACTTGGCCTACATGTACTCAGGAAACATGTTACAGATGTTTTTATCTCTCCCTTCTTCGTTCTCTAAAATCAATAAAGATATTTTTAAAAAAGTTACAGCCCTGGCCGTTTGGCTCAGTGGTTGGTTAGAGTGTCAGCTGTCGGACTGAAGGTTCTTAGGTTTGATTCCTGACCCAGGGTATCTACCTCAGTTCCAGGTTCAATCCCTGGCCCCTGGTCAGAGTGTGAGTGGGAGGCAACCAAATCGATGTATTTCTCTCACATCAATGTCTCTCTCTCTACCCCTCCTCTCCCTCCTTTCCACTCTCTCTAAAAAAATCAATGGAAAAATAACCTTGGGTGAGTAAAAAAAAAAGTTTCAGAGGCAAAATAGGGCCCTTGTGGCTTAGGAGAAAGGAAAAAATACATGCCTAAGGAAAGGACGGGGGGTGGGGAGGAGAGGGAGGCACAGGAGAGAGAGAGAGAGAGAGAGAGAGAGAGAGAGAGAGAGAGAGAACTGGGTCTTTTGTCTTAGGGTTTTTATCAGTTCTCTAAAGGTGGGGATTTTAGAGGAGGTATCAGCGGAGGATCTCAACAGAAATATTCATCAGAAGGTGGGGATTTTAGAGGAGGTTTCAGCGGAGGATCTCAACAGAAATATTCATCAGCTTTCCAGGTGTGTCCTTTCAGGGTCTCTACTGATTGGTCAGCTGCACTAGAGGAGGGGGTCATTAGTCTTTGCATCTGGTCCTGATGTGGGCTATGGTATTGCTTCATCTGGTTTTGTTGCTTTTCTGGGCCTGGAGCTGAAACAAAACTGAGGCCTAGATGTTATCTCTAGTTTGACCAAAACTCTGTTGTCATCACAAGACCGACAGACCCTTCTTGTCCTGAGGGCTTAATGCTTAAGGGAGTGGTAGAGCAAAGCCTTGTTCCTCCTCTAAGGGGGTCAAAAACCAGATGATTAGCGATATGAAAGGTCAGGGGGTCTAAACCACATGACTAGGGAGGAAATATCACGCAGTGGTTCTCAACCTGTGGGTCACGACCATCAGAAAACACATATAGCATATCAGATATTTACATTACGATTCATAACAGTAGCAAAATTACAGTTATGAAGTAGCAACGAAAATAATTTTATGGTTGCGGGTCACCACAACATGAGGAACTGTATTAAAGGGTCGCGGCATTAGGAAGGTTGATAGTTGTTTTCTCTAGTTTTGCCTATTGCTAGGCACCTGGGACTTTCAGCTCTGGTGACATTCTGTACCTGGCCTATGGTTCCTGCACTGCTCACGCATGTTTAACTGCCTACTCTATCAATATCAATTCAGGTTCTTATCACTTTTCCCCCATAGCTTAATTGAGCTATGTATGCCATACAATTCTCCTATTTTAAATATATTCAAGTATATTCACAGAGTTGTGCAACCATCACCCCAAAAAGAAATTGGTACCCATTAGCAATCACTCGTCAGGCTTTTATTGCTCCTGATCTGGCTCCTGGTAACAGTCTTCTAACTCATTTTTAACACTTTCCTTCTTCCAATTTATCTCATGTACACCACAAGCCATTTGATTTCCCTAAAGCAGTGATGGCAAACCTATGACATGCGAACTCATTTTTTTGGTTGATTTTTCTTTGTTAAATGGCATTTAAATAAATAAAATAAATATCAAAAATATAAGTCTTTGTTTTACTATGGTTGCAAATATCAAAAAATTTCTATATGTGACACGGCACCAGAGTTAAGTTAGGGTTTTTCAAAATGCTGACACTCCGAGCTCAAAAGGTTCGCCATCACTGCCCTAAAGCATGGTTTACATATTCTGTCCTCTCCACTAGATACCTTCAGTGACTCCTGCAAAAGATGCTGAGTTCAAGTACACATCCATTAACACACATTCTATTCCAGGTCCAGTGCTAGGTGCTGTGAACAAAATGGATTACCACTGAAGATTCCCTTTATCTCCACAGTGCCTCTACTCATGCAGGGTTCTCTACCTAGAATGACCTCTTTACCTCCACCCGACCCCCCAGAAATCTTTCCCAACTTTCAAAGTCCATCTTCCCCAAAACTGGCTGCGAACTTCGCAGCTCTCCTGGAACTTCTCTATCACGCCTGCGTGCACATACTAAAAGCTCAATATTGTCTTGTGGATACAGAACATGTTCTGTGGAAGCGGCAATGCTCCTTGACCCGGGGAATCGCCAGCCTCTCTCACAGCACATCAGTAGACCACCTCCCTGCCTCCAGTTATCAACGTATCCACCAAGCCCGGGAATCACAGATTTGAGCCGCTCCTGGGAAAAGAGGGCTAGGGAGGTCGGCTCTTTCGGGTCACATCTGCGCGAAGGACCTCCAGGCCTCTATGGCTCGTACTTCCGCTGGAGCAGAGAGCCGCCCCTTTCGGCGTCCCTCGGCGCCCCCAGCCCGCCGCGCCGCCGGGG